CCATTAAAAACCCTATGGAACATAGTTCTACTCTGACACACATGGGGTCTCCATGAATTGGAGCCAACTCTATGGCAAGTGGACTGATATACTCTGTTAGAAGTCTGTTAAATTATCTGTGTTTTTAAAAATAACTTTTATGATTGTGTGAGAATTTGGAAAAACAGGTCTTAGAGAAGAATTAGCCTGGGTATTTAGGGCTGGAGGTGGAGGAGGTAGAACAAGAATGGTGCCCAGATCCTTGCTGAGGTAACGGGGAGCAAGGTGGTCCTTCCTGTGTGTAGGAAGCCTTGAAAAAAGGAAGGTGAGATGTTCAGGTGAGGTATATGGAGTCTGCCTGTGGGCTCCTCAGGGAAAGCTTCCTGGAAAGTCAGCTGGATGGATGAGTCTAGTCACGAGAGGAATTTGTTGTCTATCAGTCCATCCTCAGACTGTCACATCATTCTCTCCACATCAAAATATACAGTCAACAAATAATACCCCTTCACTTACAAGAGAAACAACACAATAATTCTTAGTATACACACCTCAGGTTGGTCAGAGCCGCCCCTCGCCATCTGTTCCAAGGACCAGACTCTAAGCCTTCTCCTGGGTAGGCCGTGGATGTAGGATAGGGACTGGTCTCCAGTTGGTACAGAGCTGCAGTAGACATTTGCCTGATTGGCAGTGATAAAGAGACCAAGACAAATTAGAGTAAGGAGCAGAAAGGAGATAGAAGGGAGAATACGAGTGAGCCAACCAATTTCCTAAAACACATTCTCAGTTCTATATAAAACTCAGTCCACTTAACGTGGCCTTTGAGTCCCCAAAGAAGAAAGCGTCTTTCAAAACTAATTTCAGTATTATGCGATTAACATGTTTGGCAAAAAAAACAAAACAAAACAAACAAAAAACATTAACAGTTAGATACTGTTTAATTTGTACAACAAAGAAGTTATCTGTGACCAAAAAAAAAAAAAAAGATGTTTAAAGGCAAATATAGGGTTCTTATTACAAATAAGGGCAACCTTAAAACTGTTGGCATTGAGCCAATTGCAACTCATATCAACCTATAGGACAGAGTAGAACTGCCCCATAGGTTTCCCAAGGAGCAGCTGATAGATTTGAACTGCTGACCTTTTGGTTAGCAGCCAATCTCTTAACCACCACGCCACCAGGGTTCCAAGGCTGATTTAATTAGCAGGTTTAGGGAGGGAAACAAAGGCAATTGTGAGCCTCGTCAAAAATGGAATAAAAGAGATTAAAATGCCAGAATATTACATCCCAAGAGCAATGTTATTACAGGTTATAAGAGAATGAGAGAGCACTGGTGGTGCAGTGGTTAAAGCACTTGGCTGCTAACGGAAAGGTTGGTAGTTTAAAACTACCAGAGACTCCGCGGGAGACAGATGTGGCAGTCTGCTTCCTTAAACATTTATAACCTTAGAAACTCTACAGAGTAGTTCTACTCTGTCCTATAGGGCCACTATGAGTTGGAATCAATTTAATGGCAGTGAGTTTGATTTTTTTTTCTTAAGAGAATGAATGATGGAACAAGGATCAACGATAAAAAATCCCATTCTCTCTTGCTCTGACTGTGGTCATTTTTAATATCAGGTAACTGAAAGGAGACATCATCAGAAGGACTCACTGAAAATTGTCTACAGCCAATTGATAGTCATGTTGAATAATCCGTCAGTATGGATAGCAACTACAGATGCTTTATAATCATGAAACATTTTAAAGAAAAATCAAGGGGCCCTCTAGAGTAGGCAGGGAGTGGCAGGAATGACCAAGGATTGTAGGATGGGCATAAGAATGGTTACTTATTGGCCACATACTCTGCATGAGGCACCAGATAGGGCTTTGCTCACGTCATTTAATTGAATCCTTAGAAGAACCCCACGAGGTAGGGAATATTAGCACATTTTTATACCTGGAAAACTAAAGTTTACAGAAGTTAAGTAACTTTATTCTTTTATTTAACACATACTTATGGTTTGCCTGATCTGGGCCAGACACTGTGCTATGTCATACAGTGAACCAAACAGACCTGGCCCCTGCTGTCACAGAGCTTGCTGATAATAGGAGCACAACAAGTTAACGTGACCATACAATATGGGGTAGGGGGTGGGAAGATAAGGGCCGCTATCAGAACAGCTTATGAGACCACCTAACCTGAACTTGGTGGTGGGGAAGGCCTGCTGGAAGAGGTGACATGTAAATCTAGACTTGAAAGATGAGTTATGTTTAGATTTGATAGGCTAAGGAGTGGGGAGGAAGAAGGAAAAAAGAAGAAAGAAGATTGAAGAGCTGGATTTAGAAAATCCCAAATGTGTGTGCATATAAGAGAGAGATGGATGGTTTCAGAAGATTAAAATTAGCTTATACTTTAAGTGGTGGGAAGAGCAAAAAAATAATGCTAGAGAGGGAGGCAGGAAAAGATGGTGAATGGCCTTGTAATCCTTGTTATTGTCTCTGCTTTATCCTGAGGGCAATGGGGAGCCATTGAAATGTTTTCTGCAGAGTATTGACTGTATCAGTGTTATGCACTGAATTGTGTCTCCCCCAAACTCTTGCCCCCCAAAAAAGATGTTGAGTCCTAATCCCTGTACCTGTGAATGTGACCCTGTTTGGAAATAGGGATTTTCTTTTGTTAACGTGGTCATAACGGGAGGGTGGGTCTTAAACCTAATCTGTTTTGAGTGGTGCATTATAAAAAGGGAAAACAGACACCGAGAGTCACGCACACAAAGAAAGACACCACATGAGGATCCATCTACAAGCCAAGGAATGCCAAGAAAGGCTCGGGTCTGCCAGAAACTGAAAGTGACAAGGAATGTTCTTCTACAACGGACAGAGGGAGCATAGACCTGCTGACATCCTGAATTTGGACTCCTAGCCTCCAAAACTGTAAGACAATAAATTCCTGTTCTTTAAAGCCACCCACTGGTGGTATTTTTGCTACAGCAGTGCTAGGTTAACTAAGACAATTGGACTAGTCCAAAATTTACTTCCTATAATTTGTGCAGACAAGAGTCAAGCTTTGCTCTTTACTATTCCCCTAGGATGAGAGAGATACAACATTTTGACCACAGAGCAATTGCACTCTGAAAAATATTTGCTTAGGTGTTTTAGACATTCTTCTGACATATTGTTATCAGAACAATATATTTCTTGGCAAGTTATTTGCAATATAAAATATTGCCATTTTCAGTCATATATAAACAATTTTCTGCCTCTGAGAATTGATACACTTCTAGATTATGGTGTTCTAAAGAAGCACTCATCAATACTTCATTATTACAATAGAGTCAATTTGTTCTTTGGCCCACTTTAATTTAAACACCAAAAGTTATTGAATTCCTTTATCCTCAGCACTACATATAGAAGTGAACAAGGCAAGTATGATTCCTGCCCTCATAGATCTTTTTGCCTTGACATCACATTCTAAGGAATGGGGGAAAATACAGTATGTTGTCTTCCTAGGAATGCTGTGAAGAATGTATTTAAAATATTTTAAAAATTCTAAAAGTATACTATATATTTGTTATTTTTGTGTGTCTCCTTCCTATAAAATATGAACTCCATATGGGCCATGACTCTGTCTTGTGTACTGCTGACTCACAGCATGGAGAACACAGATGAATCTGCTGAGTGAATAAAGAAACTGAGAGTTACAGATGTTGATGATGTCTTGTGCAGGCCAAGTGCATGTTGGGCTTTAAATTTCTCCCTTTGCTGATAAAAATCATCATTGGCTGTTGCTTTTCAACAGCAAAGAGTGTCCCCAAAATGTCAAGAAGATATAATGCATAAATATTGCTTAAGAATCACTCTATGACCCCATGAGTTTCCAGAATATCTACAGTCTCTGATACTACAGGCTTCTCTAATTTGCTTTACTTTTGAATCACAAAATACTGCTTGGAGAAGACACAATATCCTGAAATGACTTCAGTCAATGCAAGTTTTGTGATGTTTACCTAAAAGAACTGGTACAAATGAAGCATAGAAATTTAACACAGATTTAGTAACTCTTCTTGGGGTGTTGAAATTTGCAAGTGTTGGAAGTGTAAACAAGTTTTTAAAGATTGCTTATAAATAAAATGACTTTAAGTGGGAATCATTAATACTCTTGTACAAGACAAGTGCACACAACAAATTCTCTTACTATGCACTGGATAGCTGAGGATTGGAAGAAAATTTCCAGAGACAGCGAAAAAAAAAAAAAATACAAATTGGAAAGCTCTTGTTTCTCCAACAACTTAGACCAAGGTCTTAATGTGTTCTAGAAAGTGTTAAATGGCTCAAAAAGGAGCTCTGGTGATAATGAAGAAAACAATGAGAAAGATGAATGTGAAAAGTTTGAATAGGATTTTCTAAGAAATGTAGAATTAGAAAAAGTTAATATTTCCAAATTGATTTTATGCGTAATATGTGATTTACGTCTTAAATTAATATAAATATTATAAGTAATCATTTGAATATTTTATTTACATTTGTAAAAACTTATATTTTAACTTTTTATTATGTCAAACTTCAAATATAGGCACTGGTAGAGAGAACAGTATAATGAAACTCCATATACTCATTGCCCAACTTCAGCAATTATCAACGGACAGTCTTGTTTTATCTATACCCACACCTGCATACTCCCCACCAGAAATGAAGTGGAATCCAGGTAGCTTATTATTTCTGCATGTATCTGTAAAACAGTGTTCTCAAAACGTGGTCCTTGGGCCAAATGCCTCAGCATTACCTGGCAACTTGTTAGGAATGCAAATTGTTGAGACCCACTGCAGATCTACTAAATAAGGGAGTTGGGCTCAGAAGTCTAAGTTTTAATAAATGCTCCAGTATTTCTGATGCATGTTAAAGTTGAGAACCACTGGCCTAAGGATAAGGATTCTTTTTAAATATAACTCAATAACATCACACTAAAAAAATTTTTATTACTAACAGTAATTCCTTAATATCATCAAATATACAGTCAGTGTTCAAATTCCCTCAAATATCTGATAAATCTTATTTTTATAGTAGTTTATTCAAAACAGAAACCAAATAAGATCCATATATTGCAACTGGTGGTATTTCTTGTCTTTTTAAATTTTTAGTTCTTCCTTTCTTTCCTTTCTTCCCTTTTCCTCTCTTCTTTTCTCTTTTCTCTCTCTCTTTTTTTTTTTTTTGTTGTTGTTGCAATTTTTTACTTGCAATGTGTTTAATGAAGAAGCTATGTCTTCTGCACCATAGAGTTTCCCACAGTCTGGATTTGGCTGATTTCATCCCATGATGTTTAGCATTTCCCTCTTTCCCTTATATTACCTGTAAAATGGTAGATAGATCAAGAGTCTTGATCATCATCAAGTTCAATTTTTTTTTTTTAGCAAGATTATTTGATAGGTTCCCCCATGGAAGCAATTTTCTTTGGTTATCTTTCTTTATATGATGTTAGCAGGCACTGATACTCATTACTTAAGTCTATTATTCATTAATGCTTTGAAAAATGACAATATTCTTATTCTGTCATTACTTCTTCATTTATTGATAGGAATACTTCTATAAAAATAAACTTTCCCTCATCAACTAGTTACCTAAGATACAGTTTGCATAGGAAAGGCAGACTGAATAAATGCTTGATTCTTTTTTATTTACTGTATTCAAAATAATGAGTTTGTAGTTCG